GACAATTTTCATTGATTACTGAACTCGACAGTCTGAAAACAGTGAATGAGTCGTTTGCAATACTTGTCATTAAAGACCTGCCACTTGGTTTCTTACATAACTAATCTCAGAATGGACATAGACAGACCTCGCGAGTACATCAAGATAATTAATGGCCATGCAAAAATAATCTGCAAGTAAGGTTAGTACTATGGTCCGTGTAGCATAGATTTCTCGACATTAAATCATGTCACTTCCTTAGCACCCTGAAGTGCATGAAATACAGCATTTTTTCTGGTGAGATGAATACCAAGCGATGGGCTTGGCAGCACATTCATCTCCTGGTTAAAAAATGCCCCAATACGCAAGATTCAACAGTTATGAGGTTGCAAGCTTTATCAGTAAATAACCTGTGCACACCTTGATAAAATATTTCACACAACATTACAAAATGTTTGTTAACTCCATACTCATAAGCATAACTCATACTGCTTATGAAAAAAATCAGGTTTTACGGCTGTTTGCAGATTCGAATTTTCTCGGCTAGTTATCGAATCTTTAACGATTAAAAATATAACCGAAACAATAGCAGCAAGAAAAACGCTAACGTCTAATAACAGACTTTATAATATACCTCGCAAAGAAAAGATTCTCATTTTATTATGATTATAATCCAGCTAGCCTAACTTGCAATAAGATTAAACTGATCAAAATAGACAAATACAGATATATATCTTTAGAATATGGTAACTGGTAGTTTGGCGACATTTTGGAGGCGATAAAGGTTACTACCTGGACTTTGGTAATAATGTGAGCAGTATACTCAGTTCCGATTACGCATTATTTTGTGTGAGGGAAATGAGAGATCATGGGATATGTCATGTGATATTAATGGACGAATTACGGTTCTTTAATCGGAAAAGGGGGGAAATCGGGAAAAAATCTGGAAATTTTGTATTTAGCTTTATTCTGTGTTGTGTGAAACAGTGTTCATTAATTTTTGGATCCCATGGCCCTAACTAAGTGAATCTAAAATAAGTGAATTCGAAATGGGTATTTAGTGGGATTGAAAGGGGTAGTAATAAGTGTTTCTTTAAGGTTGTGCGAGATAGAAGTAAAGATGTTTTTATTAAGTTATTTATTTTACCTGGTACCTTGCTGTGAACTATAAGTATGATTTTAAAGATCCTGAAACAGGCGCACATACGCTTGCTTTTTATTTAGCGGAAATAATAAAAGTTTATCCGCCACGTAATCAAGATTCTGAAGAAGATTAGGTAAGTTAGTATTTTTAATTATTTGAGGATATTATTTTTATGCATTGTTCTAAATGTAAGGTGGAAGTAAAGTAATTTGGTATTATTGGGAAAATTGTTATTAGCAATGATTTAGTTTAAATTAATTAGGATTGTAAGCTAATTTTTATTAATTTAATGTATGTGCTTATTTATATTTTAGGTAGTGTTTTTTGAATTTAATTATATTTTAATTAAATGATAGTTATTTTGTGAATTTTATGTTTGTAGGAATTTGGTATACGTTTTAGTTGAAGTAAACGTGCATGGAAATAATTTAAATATTTGACACTAAGTATTTGTAATGTTTGGCGGTATGAATTCGTTGGTGACGTTTATAATATAATAGATAATTTAGAGGTAAAAGTTTTTGGATATTTTATTTATTTTATACGTGGAAATGTTCATATTTGGAAAGGGTATATACTTTTTCGCGATCAGGTAATTTCATATATTGTTCTTTTTACCGGGTTTAAAGATTCAGAAAATTGTCATGTATTTTCGTGAAATTTTTCTAATTTATGAGAAAAAAGCAGTGTACATGGATATAGTGAAGAGTTGTGCGCAATGCCATTTTTGTGCAATTCTGGGATTTTTTTTAAGTAAAAATAAGTCGACGTGTACATGGTTTATGTGTATGTGTATTTTGAAAAACACGGTAAGGAGTATGGTATTGTGCACTTTTTCCCAATTTTGCAGTGAATATTTGTCATGATTAAGCAGTTTTGTTAGATAAAATTTCTAGCATAAGTGTAATTCGGCTAGTAGATTGTTGGAAGAAATGTTCAGTAGATAAAAAGAAAAGAAACATGTCTTTACTTCGTGAAGACAAAATGGCGGCGGAAAAAAAATAGAGGGTTGCTGTAGGAGAGTTGGTCGCCAAAAATCGCCAAGTTACCATAATCTAAAGATCAATCATCTGCTCTGGCTTTACAGTGTAACTTCACAACAAAGTCGCAGCGTGACTTCACGGCAATGTCACAATGTGATTTCACATCAAAGTCCCAATCTGACTTCACATCAACGTCGCAATGTGACATCTCAAAAAGCGGACATTAAGCCATTGCTACAATGTTATCCTGAGGTCATCACAATGCAACATGTTTGCAATGTTGCAGCGACGTGCCGTGCTGTTGGGGATAGTAACAGATATCATGACCACTGCATTATGTATTGCCATACTTGTCTCTCACCTGAAATTATGTTTTGGGATGCCACAGATTTTTACTTCTTCATCCATATGCACAGCCAGCATAATCAAGAGCCACCACTACATCTATGAAATTTTGGAACCTTTTGTCCTCAACTTCAAAGCTTACATGCGATCAAGTTTCAACAGGGCAATCAGGGATCACATGTGGTACACAACAGTCAACAATTTTTCATTGCCTACTTTTATTCTGGCCTATCCATCCTCCCAAGATGTCACCCATTAAACATGGCTGGTTGATGACAGGCAAATGAGTGATTCAGTGTACACCACCCATGACTATGCCAGATACACTTTGGCAACGTGTGGAGACAACATGGACTGACATACTCTGAGCACAATCCAAAGCCACTCTCTTTCAATATGGAAGTGTGACATTACATTTATTATCAGCCATGGCAGTTACATAAAATACTCATTTCTTTTAGTGATCAATAGACTATTTAAGATACAACTCAGATAAAGTCTAATCAAGAATCTATAACTTCCAGAACATTTAATTGCTTAATTATTTCTTTCTTAGTAAAACTGATGCTAAATTCAATTTTCTATGAATGGACATGTATCCATAAAATCTTGTACAGCTATTGGGATAAAAACGCATACTGTGGTTACATATTAAGTAAATGCAATAATAGTTAAACTATTATCAGACTAAAATGACTCTCATGAGTAAAGCTCAGCTTGTACTAGCCAAATTTAATGAATTGGTTTAAATATACAGTACAAAGTTCAAGATCCGGACGTCTAATATCCAGAACGATCCAAAATCTGGACCTTAAAGCCACTAACAACCTTTTTTTGAGGGAGGGAATTTTCTTATATATGTTTTATGCATGCGCATTTAATTCTCCCCCCCCCCATAATATAACCTGTGAAGAGTACTGATTCTTATTTTTACTTCAGCACTAAATAAAATACCTCATTCATTTTTCTGTGCCAAGTGACTATGCCATTAAGCCAAGTGATAATGAGTTGTACAGTAGGATTATTGGTCAGTGACACACTAATTTTACACAAAACAATTCCACCCTGCCCCTGATGGATGTTTTTATTTCATTCAATTGCATTTTCGTTGTATGTTCTACTAATTTACAACAAGAGAGCAATGTGCGTTCAGCAATAGTAGAATATGTCTGCGTAACTGGAATGATTTGAGTGCATGGACGTGCAATCAGAACAGTGATCCTTACTTTTCTGTGGAAAAGTATTGCGTCAGTACGCTTCGTGTGATGACTTACGGAACTGCTTCAGAGATAAAGGATGTAGGGGATTTATATCCGATATGCATCGAAGTGTACCAAGATGGTGCTCTGCATCATTTTTTATTTGATGTAGAAGGCTGTCCCATAAAGCAATTATTGTTTTCAGGCAGCTTGTTGTGAGAGCATTACGATGTTTGCATACCAGTAGATCAATGCAATGTAGATAGTCTGAATATTCCTGATGCCAAGTTTACACAACAGGATGCAAACATACCATGATAAAGGCATCCAACAGAATGGAAACAAGGTCAGCCAAAAACATCAGACAAAAGCTGTGATGAGCAAGTACGTGCAGCAAATCTCCGGTATAGAAAAAACACCCTGAACTGAACCGAAGAACCGTCAAACATTATATGGCCAACAATCCCCAACGTCCATCAAAAAGCCATCAAATGTTATGCAGCTAACAATCTTGAGGTTCATCAAGGAGCCGTCAAATGTTATACGGCAAACAATCCTGAGGTTCATCAAGAAGCCATCAAATATTATACAGTCAACAATCCTGAGGTTAATCAAGAAGCCATAAAGTACTATACAAAAAAAAAAAAAAAAAAAAAAAGTGGTAAATAAAAAGGCCGCCACAATTTATCAGGCAAAGAAAAACTACCATTTACTGGTGGAAATGATGTAATAAATAAACTAACAGATAAACTGAAAGACCGACTGGAGGCAGAAAAAATTGTCAAATGGGGTTCTTCAGCATTTCAAAAATGTATTAAACAATTACTTTAAATTATGCGAGTGAATCCAAAACAAAATAACTATTATAGTTTAAAAAGTGTCTCCACAGATACAAACATAAAAGATAAAACCATTGCTGCAGGGGAATGTAATAATCAAAGTACCCAAGTGCCCTACTACTATGAAAGATCATACAAAGTACTTGGGGCAGAAGAGAAACCGCTGCAATATATGAAGAGGGTCAAGCTAACATATTTAATTTACAGCATGAAAATTCCCAAATAGCATATCTTGGTCTTGTGATCCTAAATTATGCCTCTTAGATTAAACAGTTGTCCAAAAACCTAGAAGACATTTTTCAATACGTGATATTACAATCAGGCATAGATATATTTATTTTGACGGTTTAACAATATTAAAACGCATTTCCCAAAAATATGGACCATAGTTTAGAAACTTTATCAAATAACATTTTATTGCAAAAACATAAAATCCATAGAGTGTAACCTAAATACCGTTAAAATAGTATTAAATAAAGATTTAATAATAGAAAAATATAAGAGTGCTTACAGTAACATGAAGAAAAGATGCGCTGATTTACTGATACATCACTGAATATCTTGCCATAGACTTCTTTGTTTACATGACATGTCAGCTGTTAACAAATTAAAAAATCCAATTCAAACAGACGTATGGCAAAGATTAGAATTTTTATAATGAGTCACTTCCCATTGAAGGCAGATTTTGTATTTGTCATTTATGTTTAAAAGAAATTAGAGCAAATGACTTACCTTCCAATTCTAAAAGTAACAGTCTTTATTATAGTGACATACCTGTACAACTTAGTAATGTTAACAACTTAGAAAAAATGTTAATCAAACGAGCTAAGGCATTCCAAGTCATAACTAATTTGATTCCAGTGTGAAATTAATATTTTTAATTTAATGTCACTAATCAAACTCAGAGGCGATTTATGACAATTTTCAGTTGATTCGGAACATCGAGCAAGTCTGAAAAACGTGAAGTGACGTCGTTTGCATAACTTGTCATTACAGACTGCCACTTGGTTTCTTAATAACTAATCTCAGAATGGACATAGACAGACCCGCGGAGTACATCAAGATAATTAATGGACAGATGCAAAAAATAAATCTGCAAGTAAGGTTAGTAGCTATGGTCCGTGTAGCAGTATCAAGATTTCTCGACATTAAATCAATGTCAGACTTTCCTTACGTCACCTTGAAGTGCATGAAATACAGCATTTTTTCTGGTGAGATGGAATACCAAGCGAGGGGCTTGCGCAGCATTCATCTCATGCTGTGGGTAAAAAAATGCACCAATACTGCAAGATTCAACAGTTGATGAGGTTGCAAGCTTTATCAGTAATATGTTACCTGTGCACACCTTGATAAAAATATTTCAACATTACACAAAGTGTTGTTAACTACCAGACTCATAAGCATAACTCATACTGCTTTGAAAAAAAAAATCAGGTTTACGATTGTTTGGCAGATTCGAATTTCCTCACCACTTACGGAATCTTAAACTTAAAAATGTAATGATCAATAGCAGTGAGAAAACACTAACGTCTAATAACAGACTTTATAATAGCTTGCAAAGAAGATCGCATTTTATTAATGATTATAATCCACTACCCTTCTTGCCTGGAACTTTCAATACTTAAGAGAAAAAAACCTGTGTTAATTATATATTACAAAATACAACCAAACTAGGTGAAAAAAAATCAAGAAATAGACATGTTTGATAACATAAGTTCAACAAAATCTCTTGCTAGCAGCTTTAGAATGTAGATGGCTGATCTTTAGATATGGTAACTGTAGTTTTGGCGACATTTTGGAGGCGATAAAGGTCACTACCTGGACTTTGGTAATAATGTGAGCGGTACTCAGTTCCGATTACGCATTTTATTGTCTGTGAGGGAATGAGAGATCATGGGATATGTCATTGATATAATGGACGATTACGGTTCTTAATCGGAAAAGGGGGGAAATCGGAAAAATCTGGAAATTTTGTATTTGGCTTTATTCTGCTTGTGTGAAACTGTGTTCATTAATTTTTGGATCCCATGGCCCTAACTAATAAAGTGAATGGGCCTAACTAATAAAGTGAATTGGAATGGGTATTTAGTGGGATTGAAAGGGGTAGTAATAAGTGTTTCTTTAAGGTTGCGCGAGATAGAAGTAAAGATGTTTATAGTTATTTATTTTACTGGTACCTTGCGTGAACTATAAGTATGATTTTAACGATCCTGAAACAGGCGCACATACGCTTGCTTTTTATTTAGCGGAGGAAATCAGAAAAGTTTATCAGACACGTAATCAAGATTCTGAAGAAGATTAGGTAAGTTAGTATTTTTAATTATTTGAGGATATTATTTTTATGCATGTTCTAAATGTAGGTGGAAGTAAGTAATTTGGTAATTATTGGGAAAATTGTTATTAGCAATGAATGATTTAGTTTAAAGTAATTAGGATTGTAAGTAATTTTTTATTAATTTAATTATGTGCTTATTTATATTTTAAATAGTGTTTTTGAATTTAATTATTTTATTAAATGATAGTATTTTGTGAATTTTATGTTTGTAGGAATTTGGTATACGTTTAGTGAAGTAAACTGCATGGAAATAATTAAATATTGACATAAGTATTTGTAATGTTTGTGGTATGAATTCGTTGGTGGACGTTTATAATATAATAGATATTTAGAGGTAAAGTTTTGGATATTTTATTTATTTTATACGTGAAATGTTCATATTTGGAAAGGGTATATACTTTTTTCGCGATCAGGTAATTTCATATATGTTCTTTTTAATGGGTTTAAAGATTCAGAAAATTGTATGTATTTTCGTGAAATTTTTCTAATTTATGAGAAAAAAGCAGTGTACATGGATATAGTGAAGTGTGCGCATGCCATTTTGTGTAATTCTGGATTTTTTTTTAAGTAAAATAAGTCGACGTGTACATGGTTTATGTGTATGTGTATTTGAAAAACACGTAGGAGTATGGTTTGTGCACTTTTTCCCAATTTGCAGTGAATATTTGTCTGATTAAGCAGTTTGTTAGATAAAAATTTCTAGCATAAGTGTAATTCGGCTAGTAGATTGTTGGAAGAAGTGTTCAGTAATAAAAGAAAAGAAACAGTTCTTTACTTCGTGAAGACAAAATGGCGGCGGGAAAAAAATAGAGGTGCTGTAGGAGAGTTGGTCGCCAAAAATCGCCAAGTTACCATAATCTAAAGATCAATCATGTAGATCTCCGTGCTCTGAATACTAGAGAATATGGCACATTGGAAGCAAAAAATACAGTGTAACTTCACAACAAAGTCGCAGCGTGACTTCACGGCAATGTCACAATGTGATTTCACATCAAAGTCCCAATCTGACTTCACATCAACGTCGCAATGTGACATCTCAAAAAGCGGACATTAAGCCATTGCTACAATGTTATCCTGAGGTCATCACAATGCAACATTTTTGCAATGTTGCAGCGACGTGCCGTGCTGTTGGGGATAGTAACAGATATCATGACCACTGCATCTATATTGCCATACTTGTCTCTCACCTGAAATTATGTTTTGGGATGCCACAGATTTTTACTTCTTCATCCATATGCACAGCCAGATCAAGAGCCACCACTACATCTATGAAATTTGGAACCTTTTGTCCTCAACTTCAAAGCTACATGCGATCAAGTTTCAACAGGGCAATAGGATCACATGTGGTACACAACAGTCAACAATTTTCATTGCCTACTTTTATTCTGGCCTATCCATCCTCCCAAGATGTCACCATTAAACATGGCTGGTTGATGACAGGCAAATGAGTGATTCAGTGTACACCACCCATGGACTATGCCAGATACACTTTGGCACGTGTGGAGACAACATGGACTGACATACTCTGAGCACATCCAAGCCACTCTCTTTCAATATGGAAGTGTGACATTACATTTATTATCAGCCATGGCAGTTACATAAAATACTCATTTCTTTTAGTGATCAATAGACTATTTAAGATACAACTCAGATAAAGTCTAATCAAGAATCTATAACTTCCAGAACATTTAATTGCTTAATTATTTCTTTCTTAGTAAAACTGATGCTAAATTCAATTTTCTATGAATGGACATGTATCCATAAAATCTTGTACAGCTATTGGGATAAAAACGCATACTGTGGTTACATATTAAGTAAATGCAATAATAGTTAAACTATTATCAGACTAAAATGACTCTCATGAGTAAAGCTCAGCTTGTACTAGCCAAATTTAATGAATTGGTTTAAATATACAGTACAAAGTTCAAGATCCGGACGTCTAAATCCAGAACGATCCAAAATCTGGACCTAAAGCCACTAACAACCTTTTTTTTTGAGGGAGGAATTTTCTTATATATGTTTTATGCATGCGCATTTAATTCTCCCCCCCCCATAATATAACCTGTGAAGAGTACTGATTCTTATTTTTACTTCAGCACTAAATAAAATACCTCATTCATTTTTCTGTGCCAAGTGACTATGCCATTAAGCCAAGTGATAATGAGTTGTACAGTAGGATTATTGGTCAGTGACACACTAATTTTACACAAAACAATTCCACCTGCCACCTGATGGATGTTGTTTATTTCATTCAATTGCATTTTCGTTGTATGGTTCTACTAATTTACAACAAGAGAGCAATGTGCGTTCAGCAATAGTAGAATATGTCTGCTGTAACTGGAATGATTTGAGTGCATGGACGTGCAATCAGAACGGTGATCCTTACTTTTCTGTGGAAAAGTATTGCGTCAGTACGCTTCGTGTGATGACTTACGGAACTGCTTCAGAGATAAAGGATGTAGGGGATTTATATCCGATATGCATCGAAGTGTACCAAGATGGTGCTCTGCATCATTTTTTATTTGATGTAGAAGGCTGTCCCATAAAGCAATTATTGTTTTCAGGCAGCTTGTTGTGAGAGCATTACGATGTTTGCATACCAGTAGATCAATGCAATGTAGATAGTCTGAATATTCCTGATGCCAAGTTTACACAACAGGATGCAAACATACCATGATAAAGGCATCCAACAGAATGGAAACAAGGTCAGCCAAAAACATCAGACAAAAGCTGTGATGAGCAAGTACGTGCAGCAAATCTCCGGTATAGAAAAAACACCCTGAACTGAACCGAAGAACCGTCAAACATTATATGGCCAACAATCCCCAACGTCCATCAAAAAGCCATCAAATGTTATGCAGCTAACAATCTTGAGGTTCATCAAGGAGCCGTCAAATGTTATACGGCAAACAATCCTGAGGTTCATCAAGAAGCCATCAAATATTATACAGTCAACAATCCTGAGGTTAATCAAGAAGCCATAAAGTACTATACACAAAAAAAAAAAAAAAGTGGTAAATAAAAAGGCCGCCACATTTATCAGCAAAGAAAAACTACCATTACTGGTGGAAATGATGTAATAAATAAACTAACAGATAAACTGAAAGACCGACTGGAGGCAGAAAAAATTGTCAAATGGGGTTCTTCAGCATTTCAAAAATGTATTAAACAATTACTTTAAATTATGCGAGTGAATCCAAAACAAAATAACTATTATAGTTTAAAAAGTGTCTCCACAGATACAAACATAAAAGATAAAACCATTGCTGCAGGGGAATGTAATAATCAAAGTACCCAAGTGCCCTACTACTATGAAAGATCATACAAAGTACTTGGGGCAGAAGAGAAACCGCTGCAATATATGAAGAGGGTCAAGCTAACATATTTAATTTACAGCATGAAAATTCCCAAATAGCATATCTTGGTCTTGTGATCCTAAATTATGCCTCTTAGATTAAACAGTTGTCCAAAACCTAGAAGACATTTTTCAATACGTGATATTACATTCAGGCATAGATATATTTCTTTTGACGGTTTAACAACATTAAAACGCATTTCCCAAAAATATGGACCATAGTTTAGAAACTTTATCAAATAACATTTTATTGCAAAAACATAAAATCCATAGGGTGTAACCTAAATATACCGTTAAAAGTATTAAATAAAGATTTAATAATAGAAAAATATAAGAGTGCTTACAGTAACATGAAGAAAAGATGCGCTGATTTACTGATACATCACTGAATATCTTGCCATAGACTTCTTTGTTTACATGACATGTCAGCTGTTAACAAATTAAAAAATCCAATTCAAACAGACGTATGGCAAAGATTAGAATTTTATAATGAGTCACTTCCCATTGAAGGCAGATTTTGTATTTGTCATTTATGTTTAAAAGAAATTAGAGCAAATGACTTACCTTCCAATTCTAAAAGTAACAGTCTTTATTATAGTGACATACCTGTACAACTTAGTAATGTTAACAACTTAGAAAAAATGTTAATCAAACGAGCTAAGGCATTCCAAGTCATAACTAATTTGATTCCAGTGTGAAATTAATATTTTATAAATTTAATGTCACTAATCAAACTCAGAGGCGATTTAATGACAATTTTCAGTTGATTACGGAACATCGAGCAAGTCTGAAAAAACAGTGAAGTGACGTCGTTTGCATAACTTGTCATTACAGACCTGCCACTTGGTTTCTTACATAACTAATCTCAGAATGGACATAGACAGACCTCGCGGGAGTACATCAAGATAATTAATGGACCAGATGCAAAAAATAAATCTGCAAGTAAGGTTAGTAGCTATGGTCCGTGTAGCAGTATCAAGATTTCTCGACATTAAATCAATGTCAGACTTCCTTACGTCACCTGAAGTGCATGAAATACAGCATTTTTTCTGGTGAGATGAATACCAAGCGAGGGGCTTGCAGCACATTCATCTCATGCTGTGGGTAAAAAATGCACCAATACTGCAAGATTCAACAGTTGATGAGGTTGCAAGCTTTATCAGTAAATATGTTACCTGTGCACACCTTGATAAAAATATTTCACCAACATTACACAAATGTGTTGTTAACTACCAGACTCATAAGCATAACTCATACTGCTTATGAAAAAAAAAAATCAGGTTTTACGATTGTTTGCAGATTCGAATTTCCTCAGCCACTTACTGAATCTTTAACGATTAAAAATGTAAATGAATCAATAGCAGTGAGAAAAACACTAACGTCTAATAACAGACTTTATAATATAGCTTGCAAAGAAGAGTCTCATTTTATTAATGATTATAATCCAGCTACCCTTCTTGCCTGGAACTTGCAATACTTAAGAGAAAAAAAAACAGCTGTGTTAAATTATTATATTACAAAATACACCACTAAAGGTGAAAAAAAATCAAGCAATAGACATGTTTGATAACATAAGTTCTACAAAATCTCTTGCTAGCAGACTTTAGAATGTAGATGGCTGATCTTTAGAATATGGTAACTGGTAGTTTGGCGACATTTTGGAGGCGATAAAGGTCACTACCTGGGACTTTGGTAATAATGTGAGCGGTACTCAGTTCCGATTACGCATTTATTTTCTGTGAGGGAAATGAGAGATCATGGGATATGTCATGTGATATTAATGGACGAATTACGGTTCTTTAATCGGAAAAGGGGGGAAATCGGGAAAAAATCTGGAAATTTTGTATTTGGCTTTATTCTGCATTGTGTGAAACTGTGTTCATTAATTTTTGGATCCCATGGCCCTAACTAATAAAGTGAATGGGCCTAACTAATAAAGTGAATTGGAAATGGGTATTTAGTGGGATTGAAAGGGGTAGTAAATAAGTGTTTCTTTAAGGTTGCGCGAGATAGAAGTAAAGATGTTTTATTAAGTTATTTATTTTACCTGGTACCTTGCTGTGAACTATAAGTATGATTTTAAAGATCCTGAAACAGGCGCACATACGCTTGCTTTTTATTTAGCGGAGGAAATAAGAAAAGTTTATCAGACACGTAATCAAGATTCTGAAGAAGATTAGGTAAGTTAGTATTTTTAATTATTTGAGGATATTATTTTTATGCATTGTTCTAAATGTAAGGTGGAAATAAAGTAATTTGGTATTATTGGGAAAATTGTTATTAGCAATGATTTAGTTTAAAGTAATTAGGATTGTAAGCTAATTTTTATTAATTTAATGTATGTGCTTATTTATATTTTAAGTAGTGTTTTTGAATTTAATTATATTTTAATTAAATGATAGTTATTTTGTGAATTTTATGTTTGTAGGAATTTGGTATACGTTTTAGTTGAAGTAAACGTGCATGGAAATAATTTAAATATTTGACACTAAGTATTTGTAATGTTTTGGTATGAATTCGTTGGTGACGTTTATAATATAATAGATAATTTAGAGGTAAAAGTTTTTGGATATTTTATTTATTTTATACGTGGAAATGTTCATATTTGGAAAGGGTATATACTTTTTCGCGATCAGGTAATTTCATATATGTTCTTTTTACCGGGTTTAAAGATTCAGAAAATTGTCATGTATTTTCGTGAAATTTTTCTAATTTATGAGAAAAAAGCAGTGTACATGGATATAGTGAAGAGTGTGCGCAATGCCATTTTTGTGCAATTCTGGGATGTTTTTTTAAGTAAAAATAAGTCGACGTGTACATGGTTTATGTGTATGTGTTATTTTGAAAAACGTAAGGAGTATGGTATTGTGCACTTTTTCCCAATTTTGCAGTGAATATTTGTCATGATTAAGCAGTTTTGTTAGATAAAATTTCTAGCATAAGTGTAATTCGGCTAGTAGATTGTTGGAAGAAGTGTTCAGTAGATAAAAAGAAAAGAAACATGTCTTTACTTCGTGAAGACAAAATGGCGGCGGAAAAAAAAATAGAGGCTTGCTGTAGGAGAGTTGGTCGCCAAAAAATCGCCAAGTTACCATAATCTAAAGATCAACCATGTAGATCTCCGTGCTCTGAATACTAGAGAATATGGCACATTGGAAGCAAAAAATACACTCTTGGGCATATCTCTTTATGGTATGAACTCACAAACTACAATCAGCTGGCTCGATGCAAACATGCAACACAACCGTAAAAACTAAAAAAGAGATTGATCAGCTGGAATCGGATTCTACAGATATATTTTTTTAATCTTGGGTTGATAATTATTATCTCCAATGTCCTGATGACTTATAAAACATGAATCTATATAACTTTGCTCAATGGTTTGATATAATTACATCAGCACCCTCTCCAGCTTCAGGAACAGATATATACAAATTGTCATCAAACAAATTCATAAAGAAACAGCAATCGTAATTGTTATGATTTATCAAATAGGGGGAATGATAAATCATTACAATTACAATGTAAATAAATATCCTGAAAAATATTATTTCTCTCTTATTAATGTTTGATTCATGAAGAAATATAACTGTTTGAAATTAATCAATTTCTTAACTTATTTTAATAACTTTGGACGAATGGAAATATATATTGCAAAGGAAACCTTTTCAATTAACAACGAGAATATTTATTTCAGCATTCTAAACATATCCAAAAAGAACATTCCATGCGGTATCCCGCTCAAAGCATATGTAAACAAAAATATCACTGTTGATACAAATAATCTATACTAAAATGAACATATTAAATTATTGTGTATTAATTGAGTTTGGGTACATTCCTTAACATCCTCCCACCTTGCAATTTTACGAAATTGCAACATATTCCCAGCTCAGTTCAGAGATTCAGTCTATGAGGAACTTTTACTAGTCTTCCGACCCCAGTGGGGTTATGAGTCTGCCTATTGTAGAGGATTCAGTCAGAGGCTCAACTATCCTTGATGTGTCAATCTGACCATCCAGAGCTGTTGGTAGTGGAGAAGATCTTCTATGATTTACATCTTGATCTGGATTTAACAATACTTGAGGTTGAAAATGCTGAGGTAGCTCTGAGGGACGAGCCACCTCTAAAAGATACAGATTTTGGACGGGTCTTCTTTTTTCTCTGTCAGCCATTTTTACTTTTGCCACACTTAGATGACATCTGCACCTGGAAATACTTGGACAACCAGTGGTCAGTTGATGCGCTTTTCCGGAGTCCCAATCAGCACCACATCACCCACTTCTAAAGTGTCTCCTTTTCGTTCTCTTCTATGGACTAGAATGGATAGGTACTCATTTCTGAATCTCCAGCGTAAATCCTTCCGAAGATTTTGTAAATACCGCAAGCGATGATTTAAACTTTTACTGTCAATAGTATCCAGATCCTTTATATCATTGTGAGGGATTCCTTGTATAAAATACGCAGGTGTCGATGGATTTAACTCCGTAGTCTCGTCTTCTAAATAAGTTAGGGGTCGTGAATTCATTGTTGTTTCACAGTTGCATACTATAATTTACAGTTCAATGTAACTTAACATTTTAGAACCCAAAACTAGTCTTAAAAGTTCTTTTACCATCCGTACCAACCTCCCCACCAGGCAGCAGCTGGAGGATTAAACTTCCATTTAACCTTCTCAATTGTTGAGAACTCCATTTTTTTTTTTTTCCAATCAAGTTCGTTTAATGCAGTATTTGTTTCTACAACGTTGGAACCATTTGTCAGTATATATAAAGCTTACTCTACCCCTTCTCGCTATGAATCTTCTGAGTGAAATTATGATGGAACCTGCTGGTAAGGATTTTGTCAATTCGAAGTGCACAGCACGATAAATCGCACAAGTAAAAATCACAATCCATGCTTTATCGCCAGACAATACATACAGTGGGCCAGCCAAATCGATGCCAGTGACCTCAAAAGCTCCAGCATATTTTATACGGTCTTTTGGTAAGGGTACAAATGGCGGTAAAACAGATTTCCCTTTGAATCTTTTACAAATAACACACTTTGAACAAATTCTCTTCACAAGGACAATCCAATAATCTTCTCACAAGTTAGCGATCAAGGTTCCTGTACCTGCATGTTGCAGTCGCTGATGTTTCTGTTCTATTAGCCAATGAATTAGTGTATGGTTTCCTGGCAATAGAATAGAACACTTGAAGTTTTTGTATTCGTCACTTAAAATTAGTTTAATTCTTACTCGAAGAAGTCTTAAGTCATCATTAAATGTAAACATCCTTTTCAAATTTTTACCACCAGTATTACAAAAGTTTTTGGCCTGGATTAAATACAACAACCTTTTTTCTGCAAAACTCACTCCTTCTGAGGTTAACTCCTTACATTTTGTGCTTTCACTATAACGACTGCTATTAAAAAATCTAAAGATCCAA